GCCCTCCCTCCCGATTTACCCTCGATCCCGACTCCACCCCTCCTCCCTTTCTCCCCACAACCTACCATGCACACCCATGCGCACCCCCCCACCAGTCTCCCCGTATCCCGCGCACCACTCACTGACTTCCCCCTCTCCCGACCACGTGATCATTCCTAGCCTTTCCCCGCTCCCACCTCCCGCTCCGTGCACACTCGCGCACTCCCCCACCCTCTTTTCCCCCCCTTTCCCCCTTTTTTCTCCCCCCGATTCTCCCCCGACTTTCCCCGATTCCCCCCCGATTTGCCTCGGACTCCATCGCGCTTCGACTTATCTATTCCGATCCCGATCGGCCCGTCCCCCCCCCCCCTATTGCTTGCCCCGCCGCGCGCCCCTGGCACCGATCCCGCCCCCCCCCCCGCCCTTCTGACCCGCCCGCCACGTCATTCCCACCCGCCCCCGCTACCTTCCCGATCGCGTACACGTGCAAGAGCACTCTCCCGCCCTCCTCCCTCTTCCCCCGATCGCTCTTCGAATCCCGATTCCCCGTCCTTCCCGCCCGTTTCCGTTCTTTTCTCCCCCAGCACTACTCCTTCCCCCTCCGCTTCGACCCCGACCTTCTCACACCACGATCGCCACCCCTCCCGATTTCAACCTCGCCTTGATTTGCTCCCCCGATCCCGTCCTACGACCCGTTCTGCCCCGCCCCCAATCCTGGTCCCGACCCGATCCCGATCCCCGCTCCCAATCGTGCACTCGGATCCCTTCCCCACTTCCGCGCACTCCCCCGCCCCTGGTGTGCACGTGGGCACGAATCCCCCCCCCCCCCCCCCCCCCCCCCCCCCCCCCCCCAAAAAAAAAGAAAAACCCCCCAGAAAAAGATATTATCCCCCTACGCTCCCTTCACATAATGGATGATCGGATGACTAATATTCGAGGGCATGTTGGCAACCGACGATGAGAACGTGCCCCCTCGTCCCCACATTCGGGACTCGTGAGGCCCCCACTCCCTCCCGGCCCCCCCCCCCCCCCCCCCCCCCCTCTTCCTTTCCCCGGCAACCCGCGATCTTCCCCCCCCCCATTCCCAAGCCCCCTCCCCGACCATTCCCCGCCCGCGCGCACGTGCCACCGGGGCCTTGAGGGGAGCGGCACATCTGCTAGAAGATACCGCAAGTGTCCTCAGATGAGCTCAACGAGAACGGAAGTCTCGTGAGGAGAAAAAGGACAAAAGCTCATTTGATTTCGATTTCCAGTAGGAGTAAAAACTGTGAGAGCGTGGCCTATGGATCCTCTGGCGTTTCAGGACTTCAAGCAAGAGGTGTTTGAAAAGTTACCATCGGGATAACTTGTTCGTGACCCCCAAGCGGTCATAGGGGCTCGCCGGACGGTACACGAAACGAGAAAAAAAACTAACTCGTTTCATGAACTCTTTGCCGCACAGTGAAGAAACGAAAACAGTCAGAAGGAAGTCACAAATTGTGTCAGATTTGCAATTCACGAGGCTCCGCACGTGCCCTCTTCCGTGCCCGCCTGCAACGCGCGAAAAGTCGTAGGTCCTCCTGAGGCGGGTCGAGGAGCTGCGAATCCTCGCGAGTGCAGCAAGTCGGTCCAAGGGCTGCAGCACGTACGTCCAAGGGATGTCGGTCCAAAAAAAAAGTAGCATTTGCGAAAGTCAGGCACCTCAACACTTGTCAGGGCGTATACGCGAGTGATTTCGCGTGTGCCATGCGGCAGTGGTGCAACAAACGAAACGAAACGGTGATTTTCAGCCTCGCGAGGCCTCGCGAGTTTCAAGGTCGTTTCGTTTCGTTTTTTGCACCGTCCGGCAAGCCCATAAAGACGTTGCTTCTTGATCCTTTGACGACGGCTCTTCACAACCATTGCGCGCAATAGATCTGGCGACCTGGTCTTTCCAATGGGGAACCATAGAGAAGACCCTTTAGGGCTTGCTTGAAGACCTTCCTCAACATGGAGGAAGGATATTCATTGCTCCCTTTTAGGCGTTGCTTGAAGACCTTCCTCGACTTGGAGGAGGGACATTCATTCTGGCATTGTCCATCTATCTCCCTCTTACTAATTCCCTCCCTTCTTCTTACAGATCTCCCTCAAAGTTTTCATCTTTCACCTCATAGTCTATTCCCCCCTCTCGCCTCTACTATTCCACTTGATTGGTCGCATCATCTAAAACTCCTAACGAGGATGACATGTACTTTCTCTTTGTGTGCTTCTCTGACAATTCCGTTCGGTCTGCTGCGCGGAATTTCTACTTAATTCGATAGGATTAATCTTCATTTTCTTGTCTCCCAATGCCGTTATTGAACTTAATTCCGACATTTTTGTTCAAAAGTTACGTAAATTTCTTTATTATATCAAATTTCTTTCGTCAATTAGTTTAAAATTTGATTTTAATTCAGAAATTCGTGACATAAATTTCGGAATTTAAAAAGTTCAATTCTTTTCATGTCAACTCTACTTCTACTTGCTATTCCCTGTAGAATTCCGAAATTATGCAATTCTGCAATTCTTTTTGAAATTCTGTTGGAATTCTTTTGAAAATTCTCTGAAATTTTTCTTAATTAAAGTTAATTTTACAACATGCCGATACAATTTATCAATTTCATTTAAATAATTTTGAAATTCCTCCCAATTTATTTTACTTGACTGTCATTAAATTCTTTCTGCCATTTCATCGTAAATTCTTCAATTAGGAATCAGTTTTCTATTTTTGTTTAAAGTCGCCTTCTATTTATTTATTTTTTCAAAAGTATTTGATTTAAATCTCTCCTTTGCACTCATCTCTACCTCTTCTAGCATCTCCCCGAACTTTCAAAAACTCTTACGAATATTTTTGAAATTCATTGAATTTTGCTTGAATTTTCTTTAAATTCTGAATTTACGTCCAAATAATTTCAGAATTTTATTTTGACCTGATGATTGTTGTATGCATGCCTTCCTCTACACTCCACGCCAGTCTTTGATGATTCCCTCTCATCCTCAAGCTCAAATTTGGAAATTTTCCCCGTCCTCCCTCAATCTGATTTTGAATTTTCTTCATTTAACTCCGGAAGTTCGCTAGATCTCATTTCTACAAGCCTTCCTTTCTTGGCCCTCTTTCTGCGTGCCAATCTCGATCCCCGTGACAACCAGCAGCACGAACTCCAAGATCGCGCCTGAGACGCCCGCTCCACACACCAACTCACTCAATTTGATGCGCCGATCGCTGCCACTGAGCGTCCCCCCCTTCCCCGTTCCCCCTCTTCATCGTC